TGCAGGTATTTACCTCTTAGATAGAAATAAGCCAAGATAATCTGTCATCAGTGAGAAACCCAAAACAATTCCTAAATAGGGCAAGCATCATTAATTCAAAAGCAATAATAAACAAGCTCTACCTTTAAATTCATAAACCCCAAGGGGAGACAATTCTCTCAGTTTCCCTGACAATTTGTTTGTACAAGGTGTTTGAATTAATTTTAAGGCAATGATTGATTTATGACCACAATAAGAACTTTTATAGGAAATAGCAAAAACTACGTAATAAAGGACTCACACTGGAGCCATTAATTAGATATAATATTATAGTACTGAAATTAAATGACTGAAGTTTTTTAACAAGTATTGGACATTGTTTATATGACCTAGGGAAATCAATAAATTTGTATTCCAACAAAGCAATCACCTTCAGAGATATAAAGTTTCAAAGTGACATTCATTTTATCAGATCTCTATCTTTTAATCTTGTAGCGGCAGCTATTCGTTTCTTTAGGTCTTAATGTTACAAATGAAGACACCAGTATCTGCAGTTATCAGTCTCCAAAAAAAAAAAAAAATGAAAAAATAAAGACCAATAACAAATCTCTCAAGTCCATGTCAAAAGTCCAATGAAATCCTACCAAGTCTTAATTCAGCTGAAACCGGTAAACTTCCTATTGTTTCTTATAATAGTCTTGGCTTCTGCCGACAATCGGCAATGCATCCTTAACTTCTCTGTAGGGTTCTTACTATACAATTAATGTTCATTATCACTAACATCGATTTTCTTCTTTTTTTTCTTTTCTTTTGCCCTTTTGAATATAAATCAGCAAGTCGGAATTCTTGTTAAATAATTCAGTTTATGAAATATTTGTCTTGCTCTATGTGTGACATTAGATTAGATTAACCTTATGCATGATGGGTTGCCTTCATTTTAAAGATGATATATATAAGTCAAACACAGTATTCCAGAAAAGTTTTGAAATTCCATCAAAACCCATAATCTGACCTTGACCTTACATCTGTTTGTAAGTATTGATTGTGCTAAAGATTTAGGAAAATGTGTTTTTGACAGAATACCTGAGTATGCTATATGATTTTATCTGTAAAGTATGGCATGGAAGAGCATTTAAACTCTGATTCATGTGACCTTGACCTTATGCAAAAAAAGAAACCTGACCACATTCTTAGTCACAAAAATAATTTCTCCACATATATCTTTCCTGAGGCTCCTCCAGTTCTAAGATTTGTCTTTAAGAGTTTTTTGATAATTTTCCACTACTAACATGTGACCTTCACTTTGTTTTAAATGACCTTTGTGCAGGGTCATAACATAAGATCAAAATCAGCCCTGGGGCAGTTATGATTTTAGGTTAAAAAAATATGTGGTGGGCAAGACCTTTACACTTCACACTTAGTGAACTTGCATGACCTCATTCAAATGACTCCAGTGAGGGGTTACATGTATTATTCACAGTGTTTGGTTTTTAGCAGCATTTGAACATTTACAGCACAAGGTAACATTTTTTATATTGTGATCTGTTTAACCCCTATTATTGTTCTATACCCCTATAGTTGCCCATCCTTGCTATTTTTACTTTGAAAAAAATATTACATCCCTCCTATGTCCTTATTTTTCTCATTTTAAAATTGATTTCTAATTTTTGCAAGATAAAATTTTCTGAGAGATCTATACCCAGAATTTTTTTTTCCTTTTGGGGAAGTTCTTAAAAGTTTTTTCCCCCTTTAAAATATGGCTATTATGGTAAAAAGAAAATCTGACAACTGGAGAATGGTTTATTAAAGAAATTGAAGAAAAAACCCACACACATCCTACATCTAATAAATCACTATAATGTTTTAAAGGATTTACTCAAGCTCTCAACAGAAATGTTTTATACTGTGTTCTCAGTCCAGATACTTGGTCTTCCTGGCAAATGCTTCAAAACAAATTATGTGTCTGCATGGATGCTAAAGCAGTAACTATGAACACAGTAAATCACTCAGTGCAGCAATTATAAAGTCTTGTAACACTTTCCATGATATCAAACATATCATATGGTTCTAGCAGCATTTGTTCCCCTCACAAGTTTAGTTCAGAATGATTGTCCATATCTAATGCACATTTCTTGTTATCTAAAAATTATCCTGATATTTTCACCTTGATGCAGATCCAGTTTTTTTTTATTTTGTACATCTAATTTCTTTTTTAATATGACTTTACTCAAGTGGCCATAATAAAATTAATGGCATAAATCAATTTCATTTCTGAAATATGTACAGTCTGTATGTTCTCAATGGTTGGGAATAGACCCTCTGTGTATTTATTTAGTTGTCCTGTATGGATCATAACAATGGACCCCATTCAATGGGATTCTGGATATAATAATTAAAATATCTTTTAACTGCTAGAATCAAACTGATGTATCTTATAACTTCTATATGAATTCTTTTAGTCTTAAGTTTACATGTCTATTGATCAAATGGAAGCTTTAAGCTCATTTATTACCCCTTCCATCCTGTTGTATTCTTAATTCTTTTTCCCTTAATTATTAATCAGACTTGGGGAGAAGATTCCTTTTCTTTGTTCTTTTTTTTTTTTTTTTTTTTTAATATTCTTACAATGAAATTGTGACTTATTCTACTTCATATTAATTAACAAAGTCCTGCCAGTGTCTATCAGTCATTGTCTTTGTAGAGAGACAATTTAAGGAAGGTAGGAATGTAATGGATGTAATGGATTTGGGCCATGGCTATAGCTCAGTTAATGGTAGCTAGAGAACCTGTGTTGAGTAATACAGGGGTACCAGGTTCGATTCCTGGTCCAGCCAGTTTCTTCTTTACCTTTACACAAGTTATAAAGTTGAGAAAAGAATGAAGAGCCATATTATGTCAGCTTTCAGTGATTTGATCAGCACTAACATAATTTTAACAATGCATGTCTTGCAGACTTGGGTACTCAGCTGTTGGGTTCAAGTCTGCAAAAGCAGTTATAAAAACTCAATTCTATTGAGGGAAGTTGACATGCAATGGCCTTCATCCATCCAGAAGTTACAGACATACAAAATATCTGTCCACTTCTTGACAGGGAATATATGTACACCTCTGTATCTGTTTTTAACTCTAAAATTTAGAGTCCTCAGGTGAGAATAACAAAAATCAACGGACTAGAAAATTTGTCTTTCTTCTGTTTTTATAAGGTCCGTCTGTCTGTGTCCTAAAGGAACTTTTTATTACCACACAATCCTCAATTTTAGTTTGTTTATACCTAAGTCATGTTTGTATCTTTATTATCCAAGCATAAATATACATTAGATGAATGTTCCATGCAAGAAACAAAGTTTACACTGTTATATTTACAGGACGGCAAATTTAATCCTAGTGCAGGGCTAATTAATACTTTGAACGGCAAATCTGTTTATAAACGTGTTTTAGAAGTTTCAGATAAAAATTGGAACTGTTGATAAACTAGCATGAATATGTGAAGTTTTTATATATTTAATTTATATGCACTTTCTTCTTTACTTTCAAATAACACAAAATCCCTAAACTCATATTTTACAGATTTTTATTTTTACATGAAATAATTCATGAATGCTTTTGCTACAGCAGCGGATTTAATCCTTGCTAAGAGGTGCATCAATAACAGACTTTTATTTTTTATGTTTATAAAGAGCATCTCTATCTCTCTTTCTCTCTCTCTCTCTCTCTCTCTCTCTCATCCCACATGGGATTTTTTTCACCACACCTATTGATAAACCAGAGGCTTTATGCAGAAATCAAGTATTTTATACAATTTGCAGTTTTATCTTGGACAAAGAAATTTAATTCAAAGATGTGAATATTTCAAAATGATTTTTTTATTGTTTGATTGAAAATCATGCATTGATTATTAGAAACATTTATTGGCTGAAATATTAAAAAAAAAAAAAAAAGATGCATTTTGTAAGACCAAATTTCTCTTAAGGACAGACGAGACGTTTCCCAAATATCTGTTTTGTACATCTTCATAATGTAGGAAAAATATATACAAAATTTTAATTACTTTCTGATTTCTAAACTGGTTTCTTTTTGAAAACATTTAGTTTTTAAAAAGTAGAAACACTAAAAATATGTTTTTTGCAAACTAAGTTTTTTTTCCCTAAAGGATTATATAAGAAATGCCATCCTTTGGTATCTCGTTCAAATGCCTGGTAAGGTACCTTTTTTTGTGAGTAAACATGTTAAAGTAGTAATTCTTCAAGGACAAAATCTTGGAAAAAGTTATCTATTATTGAGGAACGTCTCGTCTGTCCTTAAAACATGTAAAAAGAAATTCTTAAAAGAAACTTTTTGCAGAATTACAGTAAAACTTGGATATAACAAAGTCACTGGGACCTATGGAATTACTTCACTATATCCATAATTTGTTATATCCATATAGGGAATTCATTAAATTTTTGTAGCTGGGGATCCAAGATAACTTTGCTATATCCATGAATTTGCAATAACCTGTGTTCGTTCTAAAAAAGTTTTACTGTATTTAGGATATGGGGCAAAGGATGCAATTCCCGACTTCATAATGCATACACTAGAAAAAATTATCAATTTTTTTTTTATAGATACACAGTCACCAATGGTCTAAATGATATTTACTTCTTGGTCAACTTAACTAAGCAATTTCACTTTTTAACAAATTCAAGAAATTCACTGGGCAAAAAAAAAATTACAGCCCCAACTAAACCCTTGTTCTTGAGCAAATAGGAATTTGCACTTCATTGTCCAAATAAGCTAATTAACACAATTTTTTTCTATATTCCCATCAGTCAGAATTCTCTACACATCTAAAATTCTTCCATTTTCCACATATTTCAGCTTGTGGAAGATGTGTGTGGCACCAGTCCTTTTCCAGCTTGTGGAGATGTGGCACCCTTACTTAATTTCTAGCTTGTGATGTGGCACCCTTACTTACTTAACTTGTGAAGATGTGGCCCCTTTACTTACTTTTCTAGCTTATGGAGATGTAGCACGTTACTTACTTTTCTAGCTTGTGGAGATGTGGCACCCTTTTGATATGTGGAGTACGGAGTTCACTTCCCACAGTATCCACTTCAGTCAGAGAAGCATCATTTGTTTCCACATTTTCTGACTTTTTCTCCTCTACATTTTCTGATTTTTTCTCTTCCATTTTTTTTTCTTCCAAACTAAATATCCAGACACTAATTAATTCTAATTACACTGTAAATCCCTTTTTAATGCCTCAACATGAAGTAAGAAGTAAACTTTCAAACTAAAACACTGGACTTTCAGCCTCCATAGAATCTACTGACTATTCCCCCACGTTGTGCGTTAGTTTCTGGACGGTGGCATCTGTCGTCTGCTGAACCACTCTGTTTATCAGGATGACAGATTTTCCAAACTCTCTGATGACACACAAGGTGTTGCTGAGATCTATAAATAGTCAGATTGATCTTCCAGAGAGGCTTGCTGCACAATCGGAGAGAGCATCTATCAAGTCTCTCACCGATAATCAAAATATACACAAAAACTATCCAAAATAGATCTATCTTGTATCCACTTTCCTCAAAGTAACACTTCAATATGTTTTCTGATGATTTTTTTTTTTCTCCTCACAGATTTCCTTTATTCAGTATTTCCAATTTGTTGTGCAGACGTCTTAATGATCAGAAAGATGCGATAAAAGATTTCTTTCTCCATCAAGTGTAACATAAAAACGCCACACCAACTCAATAAAATGCCCAGTTGATAAACATCAAATTGAGAAAAGTTAAGCCCACGATTGAACTGTGGTCATTAACTTAAATGATAAAACATGTTATGAAAGCCTGAGATAAACTTATCTATACCCAGTGGCAAATACCACAGATAGAGAAACAGTGTAATTAAAAACAAATGATTTCATTTCCTAAATACGTAAACAGGCTGGACATTGCTGGAGGTGGAATATATTTAAGTTACGCACTGAATAAAATGTGATCTAAACATTAAAGTAGTGCCTCCTTATGTGTATATCCTCAATCTCAGAGCCAAAATAAAAACAGTCTTCTATTATCATTATCTCTTTCCAAAATATTTTTATACAGACATAATGCAAATATTTCTAATGTTTCTTTGAATTTAAGTTTTCTTTAATCTTTAAGTGCAGGGTTATTTCACATAAATGATGGATAAACTGAAATAGAAGCCATTAAAAGCTGTCAATTTTAGGCTACCTCTAATGTGATGTTCAATTTGTGATACAGATTGTGTATTCCCTGTGGTGTGTGTCATTAGTTAGATTAACTCTCAGGCTGCCTCTACGTAATGACAGATTATTTGAAACCAAAGCTTATACTGGTCATCACTTACAACACAGGATAAGGTGAAAACTATCTACACAACATTAAGGTTCATAAAACCTCTGCTCTAGCTCTCATATAAAATAAAGCTTAATGCTTATTATTTTCTGAATGAGTATTAAAATACAGTCTATTATTGTATAGATTGTGGGGTTAAACTGGAAAAAAAAAAAGGGATTTCAACTTATTAAGAAATATTAGTCATTTTTTTAAGTTAATTAAGAGTTATCTCTCTTATCAGAGGGTCAATGAACCTTAATATATATATGCAAACTTTAGATATGCATTAAGTGGAAAGGTTTCTATATGTTAACACCCCTTCCCCTCCCCAAACCCCAAAAACTCAATTAAAACCTTAACAAATATGACCACTGAAGTAGGAAATCATATCCCCAGTTTGGGATGAAATTAATGCTCAAATTCTTAAGGACATTCAAGAACAAAGCCATTATCACTGTTTCCCCTATGATTTTCACTCTACTTTAATTTGGTCTAATTGTTATGTAGAGAAGAGATATTTATTACTTATATATATATAATTACTCAGAATACATGTCACTTTCAGATTTTGCTATAGTCAGATCTGTAAAACAGATAATGCAAATATAAGTTTTGAAAGCCAATATTCAAGATAACTATATTCAATATTCATTCAATACGTACATTTTAGAAAATCTTAAATAATCAATGCTATTTATGTGCATTTATTACTCCTTGTAAGCAGTACTTAAAGAAGAGAAAGACATAGACTAATGTGGCAAAGGCATTCGTGCGACAAGATTAGCAATTAGTGGACAGAACGTGAAAAAGAAGAAAAACAAGTCTGATTAGATAAACGCTTATAAGCTCTAGTAGCCTACAGAAGTTACGGCTCTGACAGTAAGCCGAGGATGTGTCTTCGAGATGTGACAACGAATTATAAAACACTGGTAATGACGTCAGTGTAAGCGGAAAGTGCACAACTTACGCAGGATCAATGGAATTTCAAAAACATTGGGACTGTTACAATAATACTTGATCTACGTGACCTCTCATATGCTATAGTAATGAAGCTGCCTTTATGTCCTCCCATTAATAACAAAATGTCCAGAATAAAGCCAAGGTCCAGATTAAAGTCAGCCAAGCAGTGACAAACGTATTGAAGACCAAGATCTCAGCAGGAAATTACTCAGTCTTTAATCCTGGATTTCTCTTTAAAGAAAGATTCTGACTTTTTAGCTAATTGATCCTAAAACTTATATCCTCAAACAAATTTTTTTTTACAATTGTAGCACACAAAAAAAAGAAAAAATTTTTGAGATAGTAAACCAATTTGCAGAGATCAAATTATTTCGAAGATGAAATTGTAACACGAGGCCCATGGGCCACATCACTCACTTAAGAACATGAGCAAATTAACAAGAGGCCCATGGGCCACCTCGCTCACCCGAGCACTGTGGCTAGGAAAAAAGTAGAAATTGGTTTATTATTGAAAACTTTAAATCCAAAAGTAAACGTTTGACCAGTTCTGGTTTTGCTATTCTTGAGAAGATGATTTTTAAAGAATTTTCCTATATATTTCTATGTAAAACTTTGGTCGGCCATTTTGGCCCCGCCCTACCCCCAGGGGTCATGATTTAAACAAACTTGAATCGACACTACCTGAAGATACTTCCATATAAATATGATCAATTATGACTTTGTTATTCTTGAGAAAAAGATTTTTAAAGAATTTTCCTATATATTTCTATGTAAAACTTTGGTTGGCCATTGTGGCCCTACCCTACCCCCAGGGGTCATGATTTGAATAAACTTGAATCTACACTACCTGAGGATGCTGCCATATAAATATGATCAATTATGGCTTTGTTATTCTTGAGAAGAAGATTTTTAAAGAATTTTCCTATATATTTCTATGTAAAACTTTGGTTGGCCATTGTGGCCCCACCCTACCCCCGGGGGTTATGATTTGAACAAACTTGAATCTACACTACCTGAGGATGCTGCCATATAAATATGATCAATTATGGCTTTGTTATTCTTGAGAAAAAGATTTTTAAAGAATTTTCCTATATATTTCTATGTAAAACTTTGGTTGGCCATTGTGGCCCCACCCTACCCCCGGGGGTTATGATTTGAACAAATTTGAATCGACACTACCTGAGGATGCTTCCATATAAATATGATCAATTATGGCTTTGTTATTCTTGAGAAGAAGATTTTTAAAAGAATTTTCCTATATATTTCTATGTAAAACTTTGGTCGGACATTGTGGCCCCACCCTACCCCCGGGGGTTATGATTTGAACAAACTTGAATCTACGCTACCTGAGAATGCTTCCATATAAATAGTGATATGATCAATTATGGCTTTGTTATTCTTGAGAAGAAGATTTTTAAAGAATTTTCCTATATATTTCTATGTAAAACTTTGGTTGGCCATTGTGGCCCCTACCTTCCCCCGGGGGTCATGATTTGAACAAACTTGAATCTACACTACCTGAGGATGTTTCCCCATAAGTTTCATCTTTCCTGGCACGGTGGTTCTTGAGAAGAAGATTTTTAAAACATACCACCAAATTTTCATTAATTCCCAATTATCTCCCCTTGAAAGAGGGCGTGGCCCTTCATTTGAACAAACTTGAATCCCCTTCATCCAAGGATGCTTTGCGGCAAGTTTGGTTGAAATTGGCCCAGCGGTTCTTGAGAAGAAGTCGAAAATGTGAAAAGTTTACAGACAGACGGACAGCTAGACAGATGGAAGCCGGACAAAATGTGATCAGAAAAGCTCACTTGAGCCTTAGGCTCAGGTGAGCTAAAAAACACAAATCAGCTCAGCATTGAAAAGTTTACTTGTTGGGGGGAGCAGGATTTGAATTCTCTATTACTTAAGAATGTCACTATATCAATAAATATTACTTGATCTCCCATTGTGACCCCTAGCTAACACCCCCCCCCCCCCCCCCCCCCCGACATTCTTTGAATTTATTGAAACCTTCAATACTTGCAGATGCTTATATGTCAATTTGACTAATCAAAACTTTTCAGTTCTGGAGAAGATATCTTCCTTATATCCTTCTGGAAAACTTGAAAAATGAACCCTCATTGTGGCCCTGCCCTAACCTGGGGGGGGGGGGGGGGTCATGATTTGAACAAACTTGAATCTACACTACCTGAGGATGCTACCACTTTCATATTTCCTATATATTCCTATGTAAAACTTTGATCAGCCATTGGGCCTCCCCCCAACCCTCGAGGGTCATGAATTGAACAAACTTGAATCTACACTACTGAGGATGCTTTCACCTGAGTTTCATCATTCCTGGCCCAATGGTTCTGGAGAAGAAGATTTTTAAAAGATACCATTAATTTTTCATTAATTCATAATTATCTCCCCTTGGAAGAGGGCTTGGCCCTTCATTTGTAAAATCTTGAATCCCCTTCACGTCGGTGATTCACCCAAGGATACTTTGTGGTAAGTTTGGTTGAAATTGGCCCAGTGGTTCTTGAGAAGAAGATAAAAATGTGAAAAGTTTACAACAACAACAAACAACAGCCTTCGGCTCAGGTGAGCTAAAAAGTTATTGAATCAATGAAATTTTATGAAGGTAACTATGAAAACAATGGACAATTGACAAATTTCAGTAAAGATCACTTGTGCCTTAATTTAGCTCTTGATTTAACTTTGTTCCAATCTTTTTGTGAAGAATGTAATAAAATTCTCAGTCTACTGCAATTCATTTCTTTAGACTTGAGACAATGGTAATTTCAACTTACACATTATTTGTAGCGCACAGATACAATAAGGAGGCCGGAAAAAGCGAGGCTAAAGATTTTTGTCTTGGGGCACAAAAATTCTTTTTTCTTTATAAAAGTAGATAATTTAGGTTTCTAAACCTGCAATATTCTAAGAGGTCATACTTAAAAGAATTGTTTTTGATTGTTTTTTGTTTAACATCCCTCTTGAGAATCTTTCACTCATATAGAGATGCCAAAACTTGCTGATGGAGAGATGTAAATTTCTGGCCTTATATGCTTGGCAATCAAAGCCATTAAGCAGCAAGGAATCTTTTTAGTGTCAGCACCTACAGCGATACAGGACCTTGGTTCATACAGTCTCTTCTGATTTTTAGCATCTCTTACCACTGCACAAAGTGGGCGACCAACAAAATTTGGATGTCATGCAAAAATTCTGTTTCAATTTTTCCCATTTTGCCTCCAGGTAAAGCTTTAATTTCTTTCCACAGGTTTATTTCTCAGGAGCTAAATCTGAATTGATCGAACTTGCGTGGAAAATGACCATTAAATTAGGATATAGATGTACTTGGTCTATCAATCGTAATTTGGATCTGTTTATGATATCGATATTGTCAGAACAAGTAACAATTTTTTATGCAGGTTCATTCTATGCAAGCTCTATATTGTTTGCAAGTCCTGCCTTTGACAAAGATTGCAGATGTTGCATCTTGGGATATATAATTATAATACGACTTTCAGCTGCTGCATTTGA